TTATTTTTTATTGTGAAAATACTGTACAGAGGGGTTACAATTACATGGGCAAGGTAATGAGTACATTTCTTATCAAGCATTGTTGCCTCCTCCTTAGTTTCCCCTTCCCATCCCTTCCCATCTCCCCCCCCCTTAATCATAAAATGTTATTAATATAATGAAAACTTATGAGATTATAAGGTAATGATCAGCTGGGTGCTTGTGGCTCACGCCTGTAATCCTAGCTACTTAGGAGGCTGAGATCTAAGGATCATAGTTTGAAGCCAGCCAAGGTAGAAAAGTCTGTGACACTCTTATATCCAAAAAAACTACTTAGAAAAAGCCAGAAGTGGCACTGTGGCTCAAGTGGTAGGTGCTAGCCTTGAATACAAAGAGGCTCAGGACAGTGCCCAGTTCCTGAGTTCAAACCCTAGGACTGGCAAAAACAAAAAGACATAAAGAAAAAAGACTATGATCAGATACCAAATAATGACCAGATCAGCAGAACTGACCTGAGGGAAAGTTCGTGGTCTCCTAGTTGGTAGTACAGTGTGCTGATCTTATAAAATGCCTCAGTGTTATCATTCTTCAGTTTGGATGCAGCTTTTAAGTCACTTATAGCCTTTCTAGGTTCCCCTTCTTGTATAAAACATTCAGCTCGAAGTTCACGTAATTCTGCATCCCAAACACAAACCTTAAGAAACAAAAGAACTAACCTTTAAGAAACAATGAAGTATGCATATTCATTCTTGCAGCCACATATTTTATCTGCATATTTATTAACATAAAACATCCTCAATTAATGTCATGACTTCTATTTTAAGTGTGACAAAAACAACATAATAGTTTCTCCAAGGGTAACTTAAGGAAGATCTAAAACAGCCTTTTTCCTTCCTCTATGATTATATAATTCTAAAATTCCAAATATAAGCAAACATAGTTTTGTTATTAGAGGGCTGTTCCCACTAATGCATGTTTTAAAAGAATATTCTATGATCAGAGTTTTAGATTCACCCAACCATTCTAATTTCTTTTTTTTTTTTTTTTTTTTTGGTCCAGTTGTGGGGCCTGAACTCTGGGCCTGGGCACTGTCCTTCAGCTCTTCAGCTCAAGGCTAGTGCTCTACCACTTGAGCCACAGTGCCACTTCCGGCTTT